TTACTTTAAAATATCATATAATCAACGTATGATTTTTTTTACCATATAAATACACATTTTTATAAGAAAATATGAATAGAAACATATGATATTTTATAATATAAATATATATTATTATATTGAAAATATGAATCAACAACATGTATAGTCAACCTAATAATAATTGACAATATCTGCTATTAGGTGACAACGGAATGTAATAGTAGATTTAACTAATATATTGTATTAACTATTTGTAAAAAAACTATTTAGTCAATAGCACATTGTATATCTATTCTAATAAATATATGTTGACATGTTAATATACGATCGTCTCTTCTCAAAACACTTTATATTATGAGTGTTTTTTAGAAATAATATTTAGGCTAAAAAAACCTAATTAATTAAGCTTTTTGTTAAACAATCTAATTAAAAAATTTTACGGGGCAAACCTTTGATTGAGACTCAAAATCTGCTAATTTACACTAATCTGCTACCATCTAAACATGTTATAGATGTATTTTTAGGGTTTGATACATAATAATAGTAGTAAATGATAAATAGATTTTGAGATATATATATGTTAGATTTGACGGGGCTTGGTCACTGGTCATTGTATTTAAAATTTGATTGAAATAAATGGAACGTGATTAGATATATTTATTTAATTCAGTTTTAAATTTGTGGTGATTTGAAGAAGTAATAGCTTATTAAATATGGAAGTCCCATGACAAAGGATTTTGCATATAGTTTATTGCATGACTCAAATATAATATTTGCTTTGTAGACAAATAAGCTAGCGTATAATTTATTTGGTTAGCTTATAAACTCCATGTTTTCAAATAACCTCTGCTTGGTAGGACTAGCTTTTAAAAAAAAACTCGAGCTTATTTAATAAGTTTATTTGGGTAGCTTTTCAAATAAGTTCGATGAAAATTTTATTTCAGCTAGCTTATCAACTAATTTTACCAAACAATTTTATCATATAAGCTAGTTTTTCAGCTATAAGTTATAAGATATAACTTATAGCTCAAAAAATGATGATAATCTAATAAGCTGGTTTATCAGCTATCAGTTAACTTAGCAGCTTGTTTTACCAAATATAACCATTATAAAATTAAGAGTATCAAATAAGTTAGGGTGTGCCTCTTTATAAATCTATTTGGTTTTGATTTTTTTTTTTTTATTACAGTTAGTTTTGAAAAAAAAAAAGTCAGTGTATCAAGCTTGAGTGAAATTTTGAGTTTGTATTACAATAATATTTAAAATGAAATAAATAAAGTTGATTTAATGTAAAAATAAAATAGAGATAATGATTAAAAATAATAGATCATTAAAATTATGTGATTGAATAATTAATAATGTATTAACTCAAAGTGACGAATTGGGATGTAATTGGTATTATTTAATTATTTAATAATATTTAGAATATAGATATTGAGTTATTGAAATTGAATTTTTTTTAGTTATTTTTTTAACAATCACGCCTTTAGGTTTGTTCGGATATAGATTTGATAGAAAAATGATAATTATTAACTTAATTATTTTCTAATTCAACTTTAATTTGATTTCACTATCCTAAATATTATAAATATAATTTAATAATATCAATCAATCGTTCTTACAAATCACATCAATTTTAATTTACTATTCATACACTCACTAAATTTTAATTAACCATCACTTCACATAATTTTTATTATACTTTTACATTAAATTAACGTTAATTATTTTTATTCAAATATTATTTTAGTATAAACTCAAATTCCACTAACCATTAAGTATAATACCCTTTTTAATATTAATTATAGTTAACAAAAAACCAATCAAAATCAAAGTCAAATACATATATCCAGTCACACCCTTAGGGGTGCCTACGGTGACAGCACCTGCGGTGCACCCCTCCCCACCATTGGGGAGGGGTGCACCGCAGGTGCTGTTTAAAATTGCACAACAGGCACCCCCACTCCTTAGACCATCTCCAATGGTATCTTGTCTATTTTGGGTTGCATGACATGAAAGAAGGAGATTAAAACATTGTATCTCCAATGGTTAAGATTAAAGATGGTTTAATCTGACATGTGTAATTTTATAATTGGTTGAAAGAAAAAAAAATGAATAAATAAAATAATATATAATAGAAGTTGTCTAGAAGTACTTCTAGAATTTTTTTAGGCCACCTAGGATTTTTTGTGCCATGTGGCAACAAAATGGGGCAATCCAAAAGCCATTGGAGATGCTCTTAGTTGCCAAGAGTTTGTACTATGCTATTATGTTTTCTTTAAGTACGTGTTTGAATACAGTTATATCCGCTCAAAACTAATTTTTTTAATTAATGACAGATAATTTTAAGAAATAATGTAGAATATTGAATGTTATTTTATTTAATTTTAGGTCCAAATAACCTGAAAGTTATTGTCGATGTCCAACCTATGTTCAGTTTGGTTTTGAATTGGGAGTTTTGAACAAAGATTAATGTGGGCCACAAGAAATATTCTGCTTGAGGCCCAGTAGATTTTCCTTTCGTGGACTGGACCAGGAAGCCCACAACATGACGTTTATCTTGGGTTCGTGGTTGTTACATGGACTCCTAATACTTACAATTATAAATAATTGTAATTTAAAAAATACTATACAATGAGTTCTGAAAAGATAATGGAAAACTTATTACTTTTTTCTTGACAATATCGTTGATTTTTTGTAGGTCACCACATAATTCCTAAAGAAGAATAAAACCACCAACAATCTCAAATTATGAGGGAAAAAAAAAAAGTGTTGGTTTATGTAACAAATAGACGAAACGAGTTTCTATTAAGCTCGGTTCGACTCGCTAATTGAGGCTCAAGCTTGCTCCACGAGTCGAGCTTTCGAGAATGTGAGATTTTACGTAATATTTTAAATTTTTACTTTAGCTCGTTTCGTTAATACTTAATATATCTCAGTTCGAAATTGTTTAGATAGTGTGCCAAGCTTGAATTGACTTGGTTACATCTCAAAACTCAAAAATATAATAAAATGACAATAAAAAATTGTGCATAAATAAGTAAATAACTGTAATTTTATTAGCAATCCAAACATAAAATAAATAAAATAGTG